GAACCACTAGAGCGCTGGCACATTTTATCATAGTTGCATGGACGGACGGACGAAGAGGAAAATTATACTCCCCTCCAGTGTCATCGGTAGGGAACTAATAAGATACAAAATAACAAAAAAATGCAGCTTAAAAAGATAAAACTGAGAAAGCAACATAAAGAAATGAAAATTGCCCTAAGTGAGTCTCCTGCTTCATCTGTGACACCAGCCATATAGATTTCGGTCGAAGCAAGGAAGTAATGACAACTTTTCTAAATGAGAGTAAGACCATCAACGAAGGAACACCGGGTATACTAATAAGTACCAAACACGCCCAGCTTTATATCGCACAAATAAAAAGGATACCTCTCACTTGGATCATTATGAACACCGAAAAAGACAATCGATAATCTCTACGATAAATCAAACCAGTCAAGAGGGACTAAACTGATAGGTAATCATAACAAACTACAAAACACATATTTCAAAGTTAATATTTGTTCGCACAACGTAATCACCAGATGAAACTTCATCTCATTTACTTTGTTATGATTTTTGATGACGTGACGTGATACGGCATTTCTGTTTGTACCATGTCGACACAGTGTATCGATTTCTATGGGATCTAGAACCGTAATATCACGTTGAGTATAGTGCTTTGGCATTGTAGAGATTAATTGTATACCTAATTAGTGTTAGCTTTGTCAAATAGTAATGGTTATCTACTCATTGGTGGTTACAGCAATGGTACATTTAAACCTACGAACAAATGTTGAATCTTTGAGGTTAGTTACAATAATTGTACATTTCAATCCACCTGTACATAACAACATGCTTATTAATGTCTTACCATTGAAGTCAAGTACATTAACGGTTCATATTGACCTACTTATTGATGGTATACCTTTGAGGTCAGTCACAGTAATGGTACATCTTGACCTAACTATTGACGGTAGACCTTTGATGTCACTTATTCAGTTAAGCTGACCATGTTCGATGTATCCTTCTCTATGTCTTCATTAATGTGTTCCTCCATTAAGCTGACCATGTGTGATATATCTCTCCGTGTCTTCATTAATGTGTTCCTCCATTAAGCTGACCATGTTTGATTTATCTCTCCATGTCTTCATTAATGTGTTCCTCCATTAAGCTGACCATGTTTGATAAAACTTTCTCTCCTAGTATTCGTTAATGTGTTTCTCCATTAAGCTGACCATGTTTGATAAAACTTTCTCTCCTAGTATTTATTAATGTGTTCCTCCATTAAGCTGACCATGTTTGATTTATCTCTCCATGTCTTCATTAATGTGTTCCTCCATTAAGCTGACCATGTTTGATAAAACTTTCTCTCCTAGTATTTATTAATGTGTTCCTCCATTAAGCTGACCATGTTTGATTTATCTCTCCTAGTATTCATTACTGTGTTCCTCCATTAAGCTGACCATGTTTGATAAAACTTTCTCTCCTAGTATTCATTAGTGTGTTCCTTCCGATGTTTGACAATCTTTATCGATGTACATTGATCTGGCTTTACAGTCTTAACAATCGGTGTTGCTAGGAAATCAGCATTATGCCTAAGTTGAGGACGGAAAACTTAAAGGAATCTGTGTCACTAGGTCGGCTGCCGTCCTCCTCGACACAACAGCAGTGCATTTCACATCCTTGAATATTTTTACAAAAAGGTTTCAAATAAATTTCACCTCATTTAAAACATCGCCAATCAGAAAATAATTACTTGTCCCCAGGCCACGCAAAAGAGAACACTTAAAAAACAGTATCACGATTTAAAAGCTCGAATCCAAAATTGTCAGAGAACCTAATTCTTATATAGAATGTTTGTGTTTGGCACATCATAATGCCTAGAGAAAACCTCTCTAACATCTGTGTCTTTCTTAGTTATTATTCAAATAATATCTAAAAATAATAAGGATAGTATAGGAGTAAACATCTTATTGCACTAAAAGGCATGTTTAATTCCCAGAACTGTTACAACCACGCTGGAACGTTTGAATCAAACTTTAATATTTGATTCACCAGGTACCACTGTAACACACGTTGCTGTTACCACTAAGGTCACAAAAGCTTTTTTTGAAAATTAATTAGATAGTTAATTAAATTGTTGCTGTTATAAAATCAATTCAATATTCTCGTTTTTGGATTAGAAATTTCAAGTTTTTTTTTATCAAGGACCAACTAGTTACTTGTACCATCAATTTCATTTCTTAAAACTAGGTCCCTATTCGCGTTTGACCCGGTTTAAAAAAAAAGTGGCATTTCCTCTTATAAAGCATATGCTCGAGACTGCTTTCCTAAATAACATTATTTTGAATTCTATTAACCCAACCGGGTTTACTTAATGGGTATTTACCGTTGACAAGCAACCAGACTGATTTGCTGACGGCCAGATGTGTTCATTGCCCTAATGATACACGTGGTAATATCACAAGCCATACAGTTCTCTTCCGCCCTGAGTATCATATAATTTGGTATGTGGCGAAGCTAACATGTATTTCCCTATCATATTGCTGAACTTTCACAGTTAGTTGGTATGACAAATAAACTTCTGGCTTCACTATGACTGACAGGTGAAAAAATCTGTGATAAACACATGGTATAACATTGCAATAATATTCTTCATCTTGGGAAACACAACATATTATCTTTTTACTGACAACTCCTTTTTTGTTTTATTGTCATCATGTGAATTTTCCAGAGGTTTTCTACATGTAATTGAAATTAATTAGATACCTTTTTAACAGTGCTTCAGCGTTGATTACTTTATAGACGTAATGGTGATATTGTGCAGATTTGCTTTAATATCACTATTCTGTAACATTTGGTATATTTTCAATTTTCAATCACAAAAATCTAATTCATATTTTGACAGTGTTTCATTGGTTTCGATTTCTACTCATGGTTTAAGTAAAGTGTCAAATGCGCCACGATTACCTATCAAAGACTAACCAATGGTGTCTTTACAGAGGTAACAGGGGTATAAGTCATCAATTTGACCTGTTTTCACTCTTATCGAATCACCAGTCAATCAAACGGCTTTTATGTACCTACAGAAGGATGCCAATACAGTTCATTTCTATCTCCTACATTTTATACCCAAGGTTACGATGAAATCATATGATTATGTTAACTGGTTTTATTGTAAAAACATATGTTTTTCACCAGGTTAGCAGGTTTTTTTCAACGAAACCTTTACATCGTTCTTTTCCTGAATACAGAAAAAATGTGTCTATTTCCTCCTCATCATAATTCATTAATGTCTCTTCTTTAAAATTCATTTGTACCAGTGTTGATTCAGGAAGAAGGAAACTGCTTCGACGCAGTCTAAATATTTGCAACAATATATAAGTTCATTTCTAATTCTAGTAGATTTGATATAAATGTGGGGAAATATAACAGTTAACACCTCCGGTAATTCCGGCTCGAATCAGAGTCAGATGAATTACGTAAGGCCTTTTTATGTCTGACGGAAATGTCAAGCTTCCACTCATGATGATTATGTGGGGGTGTCATAGCCATTACGGCGCTTTATTGTTTGCACCTTTTATACCTCTCATTTGACCTAATACGATCTGTGTTTCTACTAGACAATGCTTAATATGTTTACATTTCTAGGTGTGTTGATACGGCTACAGAATAATGATCATTCATCACTTAGCGTACTGTACTGTTTATTGTCGCCGGTGTAGGCTGCTATACCTTTCTCCACTCCTTCATTTTATTTGCACTTCATACAGTGATTCGCTCATCACGATCGTTTATAAAAGTAGAAATTAATGTTTCCTCTATCGCTTTATAAAATTCCATTTAATTACGTTAAATTCTTGTTATAAAGCGGCTCTGGGAATGAAATCACGCTATCTGACGATTGAACATATACATGACCTCACGCATTATCCAAGCATCTGATATGGACTTGACCCATGAATTGTATAGGCTTACACAGCCTTTCAAAGGCAAATGCATGATAACAAACAAAATATCAACATGTTAACAAAATCTTAATTCAACTCAATGTTAATTAAGGGTGAAATTAAAAAAAAGAAAAGATTTACAGGGAAAATATGACCACGAGTTCTGAAAGGGTAATCATGTCTCAAATGAGAACGAGATGGGCAACTAGGTACGCTAAGAGTAGCAAACACACAAACGTTTTGTAGCTCAGAGGGAATTGAAATATTTTCAAATGAGATCATGATTACGACCATATCAATGAATTTCTCATAGTTTTCATCAATCTGAATCTTTCGACACCAAATGGTGTTGTGAGTTTACCCGTTGGTTGACGACGCTTTCCAATGAAATCATGCAACTAGTAGCAAACCTTTAGACAATGAATCATTTACGACATGTAAGCATCGTATGTTTGAGAAGCAGGTGTGTTACTATCCAGAAATAAGAAATGCAAAGGAGGACAACTGAAATCATCCTAATCCATGTGACGACAATATTATGAGAATAAGAATAAATGAATTTCTAGGTGACAAGATAACTATTAGATATGGTGGTGAGATATCTGAATGTATAAACTGTTGACTTATGTCCGGACCGACTTTAAAAAAAAAAATGTTCCCTGACTGATTTTCTGAAAGAGCTCATCAAAAGATATTTTACGTTGATAGGTATTGTAAGCATATTATTATGTATTTAGTAAAATGGCCATATTGTGCTGTGTCCATACCTATATCATAGTGATCCTACCTTCCAAACCTTCAATGGTGCTATGACGTAACTAATTCGACATGGGGTCTCTCAGTGTTTCAAGGGATACATAATATTGGAAGGACTCAATCTCTTTTTCTTTAGAAGTTAAAGTTTTATCATTCTATGCTCGTTAGTATCCTCAGTTATATTTTGGAGAACGTCATATTGGCAGCTGCTTTTAATGAGACAAAATATTCTTATTTTCCTTGAACGTTTCCTTTAATCATCTCCATTTATTCAATACTAGTTTTGTTTCTTGAATGTCTTACGGTCTTTTTTTATCAACTTTTAAAATTTGATCGATGTATATGTGGGGGATTGTCGTACAAGTGCTCGTCAGGGATGCTAAGGGTCCACATTGTGAGACTAATTTAGAGGAGACAGAGGAAATCAAACTTGATGGTAAAAAATGTCAAAATTTAGTTGCAAACATGTTACTGTGCTAACAGTTTAACATACGAGTATTTAAAAACGGTTTATGGTTAATTACAAAGCATGCAAATACTGAAACTGATTTTGATGAAGGGAAACTTTAGCAAAGAGAAATTTCTGCAAAAAAAAAAAAAAAAAAATGTTTATTGCAAAAAACAATTACCACATTACTTCACTGAATTACAGTTTTTAAATCTGATGAAAGCCAAATTCAGGCCCGTAAGGACACATCGTTTTAATTTCCTTCCTGTACCATTTGGGATACATTTCCGTGACTTGGCATTCAGTTGCGCATGATCTTTAGTCATGTCGATAATTTATATATATATTTTACACCTGAAGTCTTCAAGTTCTATAAGGACACCTGGTATAGATGATTGCAGTAATACGCATATATCACTTCATTCTATATACATTTTATAAGAGAGAACTCCCCTGGAATGTCACTATAGAGGATCGGAAGTATTCGGTGATATGCATTAGATTCACAATAAACTGTCACGATGCATCGAGATTTTTCAAGCGTCATTTCGCACAGAAGCTTTAAACTACTGCTAATACCAGTGGACACGACAAACTGTCAATAAAGCTAGTCAAAAACATGGACCAATTGTGACAGATTAGAAGAATGCATCTGATTAGGCTGGTCGAATGAATTTTTTATTCACGATATTCAGCTCATGTGTTCAGGAAGCGTTAATAAAAATTGTCTTCAACAAAATGTACAAAGTCTTAACCATACATGGACTGACGATATAGCACACATACGATCGCAGCTCCTTAAATCTCCAGAATATTATGACATTAACAAACCACAGTTTATCACGTTCAACATTATGGTATCGCACACTTTACTACCTTTTTACTTTTTCATGAGTTTCAATGGAAAGTCTTCTTTTGTTCTAAATTTACCATAGTTTCATCACATGTGTGTTTGAATAAAAGTTTCTGTTTACATGAAGATATTTCAATTGGTTTCCACCACTAGTTCATGATTGAAACCCGTAAGAGTTCAGGTTGTCATGTCTGTGAGACACAGCCTGATTTGCGCTGAATGTTTAGTTGAGAATACTTCTAGAAGAGCCAGAAGGTTGTGGCAAAACATAGTTATTTTACAAATAAACCGGGTTGTCAACTACAGGCATTGCGTACTTCGAGCAGTAACAAATTCAAATAGGACACTCGTCATGGTACGAAATACCAATGACTACTCTATCGTCTCGACTCTCTGTTGTCAAAATGATTGCCGCTGGCGTTTAAGAGTAAATGGGAATCAAGTGATATCTTAATTAAACAAACATTTGTATAAAATGTGTTCCTCTCTGTATGTTAGTTTCCATTACATCCTTTAGATACATTCTACAAAGCTGACAAGGGAGATGTGCAACATTTCCTTTTCCACTGAAGTTAATAGGATGTCATTGCTACTTCAAATAGATGCCTTCTAACGGAGGAAAACTGTTGCGGTTGATGGTGTGTTGTTCTCGGATGCTGCCCTGGAGATCTTCATGATTAAACAAGTAAGCGAAGGAAAACTAAATATATATACCACGAAGTCAAGAGAAAATAAGAAAAATAATTCATGTAGTCAAGAGAAAACAACAAAATTATACTAAGGAGTCAAAAATAATGATGAAGTGAAAAGACAATAGAAAGATATATCACGAAGCCAAGAGACAACAAAAAATATACAACGGCGTCAAAGACCAATGACGAAAACATACCGAGGAATTAAATAACAATAGCGAAAATGTACATGTATAATTGAGTCAAGAGACAAAAGCAAAGATATACCGCGGGGTCAAGAGACAAAAGCAAAGATATACCACGAAGTCAAGAGACAAAAGCAAAGATATACCACGGAGTCAAGAGACAAAAGCAAAGATATACCACGGAGTCAAGAGACAAAAACAAAGATATACCACGGGGTCAAGAGACAAAAGCAAAGATATACCACGGGGTCAAGAGACAAAAGCAAAGATATACCGCGGGGTCAAGAGTCAAAAGCAAAGATATACCGCGGGGTCAAGAGACAAAAGCAAAGATATACGACAGAGTCAAGAGACAAAAGCAAAGATATACCACGGAGTCAAGAGACAAAAGCAAAGATATACCACGGGGTCAAGAGTCAAAAGCAAAGATATACCACGGAGTCAAGAGACAAAAGCAAAGATATACCACGGAGTCAAGAGACAAAAGCAAAGACATATCACGGGGTCAAGAGTCAAAAGCAAAGATATACCACGGAGTCAAGAGACAAAAGCAAAGATATACCACGGAGTCAAGAGACAAAAGCAAGACATATCACGGGGTCAAGAGTCAAAAGCAAAGAATACCACGGGGTCAAGAGTCAAAGAATCAAAGAATATTGATGAGAACATAACAGACGAGAAAGGCAACAAAAATCATCCCACTGAATAAACACCACAACAGCAAGTAATATGATTGAACAAAGAATCAAAGACAATACAAAGAATATAGCACAGGGTTGATAAAATACAAAAAGTACAACTAGGTTATCATGAAGTATGCAGTGTCCTGTAATTCGGGTTCTTAGTGATACATCTGGTCACTGTGGTCAATTTAAGACCTGGCACGTTCTATATTATATGTTTTTCTAATCTATTAAATAAGTATCATATGGAAACAGGTAAAAGTTCGCCCATAGTGGGCAAACATTTGTTCCCTCATGAGCAAGCTTATTTGCTTATTTCTTTCCAGTAAACTGAAGTACATTTGTCCGTCATAATTTCAATACTGAAAACATGCCAGTATAATTAAGTTCGAGTCATTAAGAAGGTCAGTACAGTTACTCGCCTGTAAGGCATGAATTATCCTTCAAACGCACGTGAATTATGTGACTGACGCGCGTGATTTGTGTAACAAGCTATTGTGGATATGTTCTAGGCCATAAGGGTACACATTCTCGAGTCAGGTGTTGTGGGGGAGGAAAATAAGGTCTGGAAGGTGTAAGGCAGACAAGTATGACATAACACTAATAAAATATGGCTTGAAATCTGACAGCCAAGAGATATCTGCTAGATTATAAATAAACCGATTGCTACAAGCAAAACAGTCCTCTATACAGACAAACGAATTGGAAACATGCCTGTTGTTCAAATGTCATAATAACACAGACTTGAAGGGCAAAATACGACCCTTTCGTTCGAAGACTCGTGATTGGCGTGAACTACACACGGCTTTTATATGTCTCTACAAACTTATAATACCAGTTCATTTTGTCTATGAAACAATTTCGTCATATCCAAAGGGACTATTCCTGGCTTCATGGCTCCGTAAAGATTTAAAAAAAAATTCACGCCTACTATGTGGTTGTTTTGACTTACCCCAGTAAGTATTTATCACTGCAATATACGTACATCTTGACGTTTTAACAGACGTAGGAGTTTTATTGCTCCCCAGATTTCTTACAATGGTGTGACTATACATCATAAGCACTGCTATAGATACTCGTGTGTTTGGTTGGAGTATCTGACGATTCATGCTCCTGTGAAATGCCCATGGCTAGTTTTTTCTCTGACAATTACTGTAATGTATTTTTCGCATTGAAACTTCCTGATAACAAATCATTGGTTTGATTGTGATTATTTCGGAACCATTATTCGTATTTAACGAGCGGATTGATGACGTCGCCTTGTAGTATATATAGAGAGCCGGAAATAGGGAGTGTACCGAGTGGCGTATCATAGCAACATGTTCTTTCCTATAATGTTTACTTCCTCACACCGATAAGCTTTTCCTCGGAAAATGTAAATGTAGTGAACCTTAAGGTTTATTATTTTTTTTATTTTTGACGATTTTGTACGTGAATGAGTAATTGCCACGTTCCAAACAAAAACAACTTCTGGAGAATAAAAAAAAAAAAAAAAAAAAACAGCAAATGAAGATCTCCTGGAGAGTATATTATTGAACGTAAAAAACACAGACATCTTCTGGAAAGGTCTAGAAACTGTATCTCTTGGAAACGTACGCACATGGCCCTGATGCACTGTCGGGGAAGTATGAGCTTGTCGTCGAAGGTCACAGACAGCAACAAAGTGTACATGAATGATGCACATACGATATTATGAAGATCTAGAAAATATCGCCCCACTTCAAAATAAGAATGTGATCGTCTATAAATTCTTCGTTACGTAACGCTTGAATGGAACCATCCATTAACACAATTACAAAATAAACCATCAAAGTACCGACAAGACGACATGGGACGAGATTTATCCTAGAAAATCAACGAGAATCAGTGTGGAGGTACACATCCGGTGTACACGGAAATAAATAACCTTTATAGTTATTTCCCGTACTTAGAGATAATATAGCAATAATTAATGATACGAAAATAAGAAATATTCGCGAGTCACTGAAGGTAAGAGAGCATGAACAACAAAATCTTAATATAAATAATTGCAATTTATGGGTCATGATGTCAGAGGCGGATACAGCATTAGTATAAGGAAAACACACACGGCCAGATATTGATATATACAGAGGGTCTATATGGTGTCAGACTACAGAGAGATGATTTGGTATCAGAAACACTAGGTTAAAACAACAAGAAATTACCAACCTGTGAACTGAATCATGATCCAAACAGTGAATTCAGTGAACAGTAATTCTCTGCTATATGAAGACATTCATACAAGTTGTTTGACTGTCAAATTAATTGTTTCATACCTTGGTTGGTAGGTGTTCATTGTTTGCCCTTTATCAAACCTTACTCTGTTTTCTAATATTTGAAGCAGAATAATAATATTAACCCAAAGAAGATTTAGTGCATATATAAAGGTTAAAAAAAGACATAGAAAATACAGACATAATGTCAGCAGAATCCTAAACTCAAATCCGTTACAACTCTGGCAAAATATGAACAAAAGAAAAAATTACAAGAAGACTCCTGAAAAGTACAACGAGAATAAAACAAGGTACTCCGGAAGGATAAACGTCTTCTGCTTCATCGACTACTCCAGCAATGTAATTTCCGTCGACGTAAGTAAGTAATGTTACCTACTCAAATGAGAACAGTGTGAACAACAGAATATAACAAATCTATCACACAGGCAGGATCCATGAGTATAATTATAAATAACAGCGACACTATTACTTTACAGTACCAGGTAATATATCGGAAATCGAATGGTATATCAAAAGGCGATACCAAGAATAAGGATCCAATTGGATATTACCTCTTAGAAATGTAAAGGCAGGAAAAGATAAGGCTGGGTGATAAGACTTCAATGATAGTTGATATAATGATAAAATTAAAAAATGAATTTGTTGGATCATGTCGACATGTTTGTACACGGCAAATCCTTTATGTTGACTGTCGAAGAGACACTTGCTTTATCATGATTTCTGATTATCATTATGGGATCAACGTGGCATGTACGTTTTATATCGACTATTTGAAACCGACCGTCTTGCACTATTGAAGCTGTACTTGTTTTGAGGGTAATGATTGATTTTACTATCTAATTTAAGATAATTAAACCATACTTACCGATGACGGCGCAGGTCCTAACTTAATCACTGGCAGAGAGAATACTAATGCTGTTATCTATAAGATGCTGGAGGCAGTTTACTTCAGCATGGTCATCCTACAGAGATAACAATGCACCAGTACCAACCATCAACTGCTATGGAATGTGTACATATATAACGGATGTAAGTGTTGTGGTTGTTTTCTTTTGCAGTCTTTTATATTTCCGGAGAAACTCTAAGACAGGGGCAAGTTATTATTAAAATAGCATTGATAGCATAAAGCTGGATGTAGGAAGTGGAAGAAGAAGAGAAAAAATGTATGCTTTTCCCATTCAATCAATAACAACGATATTGGTCCATTTCTTTTACCATCAGTGTGAGTGCAGTTAGGTTTCCATGGACATCCCTGCCCTAGTTTCCTGACTCACTAGGTCACAACAGTGAATTGACTCTAAGGGCCGGAATAGTCACAGTGAATTACTAGGTCAAAATATCATCTTGTTTCAATAGATTAGAACAGTTTCACAAAAAAGATGTCAAATAAATAAAAGCACTACTGTTCTAGGTTGTAAGGTATTAACAGTTGTCAGTATTACTGAGAGAATATCAGAACATTTCCTTTAATCTGAATCCTTATCTCAAAAGGTCCCTGTCTGAATTGGTTCCTATCTGAATAGGTCCTTTTCTGAATAGATGCCTGTCTGAATTGGTCCTTGTCTGAATTAGTCCCTGTCTGAATAGCCCCGTGTCTGAATAGGTCCCTGTCTGATTAATTCTCTGTTTGAATAGGTCCCTGTCGGATTAATTCTCTGTCTGAATAGCCCCGTGTCTGAATAGGTCCCTGTCTGATTAATTCTCTGTCTGAATAGGTCCCTGTCTGATTAATTCTCTGTCTGAATAGGTCCCTGTCTGATTAATTCTCTGTCTGAATAGGTCCCTGTCTGATTAATTCTCTGTCTGAATAGGTCCCTGTCTGATTAATTCTCTGTCTGAATAGGTCCCTGTCTGATTAATTCTCTGTCTGAATATGTCCCTGTCTGATTAATTCTCTGTCTGAATAGGTCCCTGTCTGAATATGTCCCTGTCTGAATAGGTCCCTGTCTGAATAGGTCCCTGTCTGAATAAGTCCCTATATGAATAGGTCCCTGTCTGATTAATTCTCTGTCTGAATAGGTCCCTGTCTGATTAATTCTCTGTCTGAATAGGTCCCTGTCTGAATAAGTCCCTATATGAATAGGTCCCTGTCTGATTAATTCTCTGTCTGAATAGGTCCCTGTCTGAATAAGTCCCTGTCTGAATAGGTCCCTGTCTGAATAAGTCCCTGACTCTTTGGTCCTATTAGCTAATTGACGATACCTTGACTATTTGGGAGAAAACAGATTCCTGACTGACAAGGTATATTCCCTGATTCAACAATAGCTAGAACAGTTCATTGATGGTTTTTTTCCTGAACAGTTCACTGAATACCTTTATCCAACAACTTCATATAAGATGTGTACAGCTTACAAATAAACTCACAATAAAGGCTTTCGAGAGAAACATGGTGATGATAATTCATTGTATCTTCGTAACACTGCGTAAAATGCGTATTATTACATTAATCTGCGTCTCTCAAAACTCCGTGTTGCGAAGTTTGTGTGTCAGTTGCAGATTCTTGCACGAAAATCATGATACTGAGAATGGACCCTTGACTATCGAATCAACTTTTCAATACGCTCACATTGATAAACATGTCTTTTTTTCGTAGAAAACGTCAAATTTACGGTAAGGTGCCTTCGAAGTTACCTATTACGGTCCTTAAATCGGGACAGAGCTAGCCTCACACCAAAATGCTTTTTTTCAATTTAAGCGTATTCAATAAAATTCTAATTGAAGCTGTAAGATTTAAACGATCCCCTTAGGGCATATAAAGTTCGATCTATCTGTGTTAGAAGTAGTTTAAACAACTGTTTGTATAATTCTCTCTAACGCTGCTGCAATTAAAGAGCTGTTGTGAGTACGGACCGACTCACTGCTTTTAAGATTGCCCAAAAGCGTACTGATTGGACGTTGTACTCGTGCACGCCAATAACATCCGCTAAGGGTTCTTGATGTAAACATAAATATAAATAGAGAGATAGAGATTATTCAAAACGGTTAGAAGGGATTATAAATTGTGTTGACTCATTTCGGTCTGGTGTAGAACTTTCTCTAGTCATTATATTTTACAGAAAGATTAGTCACATATTCTTTGGTACAATGTATTGAGGAACTACAGCAATTTCAATCAGGAAAATATTGAAATAAAAATAACCAAAATATTCTTATCATGGAGAAGTTATTAAAGATATACCATTTACCCTAATTAACGTTATAACTTCCGTGCAGCGTCTCGAAAAAACATGCCGATCGCTTTTCGCTGATACTTCTTTGTTAAAATGATTGTCATAAACTATCGAACTATACATAATGTGACGTATCTGATAAGAACACAAGAAACCGTGTAAAATGATAAGGAGTGTTCCCCATTGGCTGATCTTACGCCATGTGATCCGACAGTTTGGCCTTTAAGTATCGCAATGCTTTGTATAAAGTGTCAGTGTGTCGCGAGCCTCCAATACTGTTTATGAGGCGATTGGTGCTGGGAGCTTCGGCGAGGGGAAGAGAAATGCAGCGGGTAAGGCAGTGCCTGTAAGAAACAAGCACTTTCCATGGATTACCAAAGTAAGATAAGAGGAAGAAAATAATTCATGACCGCAAGGCACTTGCTAGTCCGCCTACATTTTCTTCATTAATGAAAACAAATTGGATACGAACTTGAAGAAAACATGAATGAAAGCTGCTTCCGAATACGCTATTTGGGTTGTAAAGTAGTATCGATTGATAGAGGACTCTGGAGCCCCCGGCGCGTGTGAATGGCAGTACAGACACAGGATTATGACACTGTTGAAGATTGATCCTGACTAAAAGGTTCGACACTGACTTGTAATTTCTGTTCCCATGGCTAATTTACCTAATGTCGTGATAAATAGCAGCTGGGTGCTGTCTAGAGAGGTAACGTACCAGACTGCTGTCAATGATACCCACAGTCACCGGAATGACAGCATGGCATCGGTATCCGAGGTTATTAACTATGGTATCATAGTGTTTGGTGTATTCGTTATCTCGGCGACCATTTTAGGCAATAGTTTCGTTATATTAGCCATAATCGTCGATAAAAAGTTACGACGTGTTGGAAACATATTTATTGTAAATTTAGCAGTGAGTGATATTTTAGTTGGTGCTATCGTGTCCCCTCTATCGCTCGTTTATCAGATAACGGGTGAATGGCCCTTTGGACGGCAACTATGTGACTTTTGGATTTCTGTGGATATCATATGTTGTACTGCTAGTATACTTAATCTTTGTGTTATAAGTTATGATCGCTATAACGCTATCTCACAGCCATTGAAATATGCCAAACACAGGACTACCCGACGTGCGCTTACACTTATAACGTTAGTGTGGTTATATGCTTGTGGCATTGCATTACCTCCTTTACTTGGTTGGAGAAAGGCTACAGAAATGGCGTCACATGGTCTTCAAAAATGTCGAATTACTCAGCATGTGGGATATACATTTTATTCGACAATAGGAGCATTTTACTTGCCATTGTTTATCATGGTATTCTTTTATACACGTATATTTTTGGTCACTAGCAGCCGGGGCAAACAGTGGGTGAGAGGTCCAGGTTCAAGCTGCAGAATCCAACGCCGTAGATCTCGTAACAAGAAGGATAACGACAGTAATAATACGGTATGTTGTTTACCTTGGCCATGTAAGTCTAAACCGGAAAGTCAAAGAAGTAAATCGGTAACAACTCAGACTGATCGGTCTCAAGTTCGAAACTTTTCCCTCTCTTCTAGCATAAGAAGAAGTACATTTGATTATTCGTCTACGGCTCAATCTGACTTGCATCGTAAAGCTGTCATGTTCTCCCCACGTGCTAGTACGGCGAGTACCAGTACGGGCGAGGTCGTGCTCGAGATCACACAGGGACGTAGAAAACAGACTATTCATCGTCGTCTTTATCGACAGATCTCAAATCCAAACAGTGATTCAAGTTATACGACGTCCACGACAACCTCGACCACCGCTGAAACTTCGTTTTCGGAATCCTCGTCTGCTGGTTCAGACACTCGAACTACGAGACGCGCTTCAAATGTAATATATAACTTATTAGCTGCTAATATTATGGCTGCCGAGATTCTCCGGGACAGTGTAAAAGGAGTACAATTTGCGCCTCAACATCGTTCACCTTTACTAATAGAAGAAGAGATCACACCGGAACCTTTAATTCCTAAAGAGACTGCGCGAGCAACTCGCCGGAAACGGAAGAACTTGTCACTTCCGCACGAAAAACGTGCTGTTAAAACATTAGGAATCGTTGTTGGCTGTTTTATATTCTGCTGGCTTCCTTTCTTTGTTGTTACTGTTATTATACCCTTGTGCCAAAATTGTTCTGTGAGCCCAATGATTACCGGTATAGTCCTGTGGTTAGGTTATTGTAACTCCGCCTGTAACCCTATTATATATACATTCTTCAACGAGGATTTTAGACGTGCCTTCAAAAAGCTGACAACGTGTGGAAATTCAGTGTCCTCGCCTATATATTTATGAGGAATCTGAGGTGAACTGAGGAAAAGTAATGGTTTGTACTGCAATAAATTGATTAGAGTTAGACAACAATTTTATTTCTTTAACGTATTTTTATTCTTTTATAATAAAGAGCTGTTTTATTTACTTATAGCATTGTGGATGTTGTGAATTGATAGTGTCGATGTATGATTGCAACAGTTGACACTACGTACAACTCAGCTTGCCAGTCGTTTTATGATGATATCCTCGACATATTTTTTTCATAATTTGTTTGTAAACCTCACAAATATACTGATCTCTGGAATAGCGATGCTATGTGTTCCAAGTAGGAAGTAGTATTGATATATATATATATATATATATATGTACAAATCAATTGTATTTGGTGACGATAAAACGAACTATGAGGAAGGTCGAAGCTAGGTCTATCCTCAACACATTTTACTGAAATGCCATGATATATGTATACATTTTGTAGGAATCATCACTTTTTCTACGATGAGGAAACTGGTTACCTTTCCATGTTATGGGTAAAAGCATCATTTTAAAAAAAAAATTGTATATTTTTTTGATATGACGTAAAATATGTCTTCGCATTATTATATGTAATTGAGTTCATTATGACGTGATGTGATTAGGGATATACAGTTTAAATGCTTTAATGACAGTTAATGAGGTTACATGTTTATTTCATAATTATTCCTGTTTTATAGTTGTCTATTTCGTGGTAATTATATGTAAATGTCTTTTTCTTTTCTGTATGCATCCTACATGTTGTTATACTGAAACGAATGGATCAAACCCTGGTGATTATTAATGTTTATATCTTCGTGCTATATACACGATATCCTTAGTTCATTTTTCGATATGATACTGATGTATTTTTATATGATGGTTAGGTGAGATGTAAGGACTTAAAGTAGCATCACCGTTATACTTGTATATACTGAACGTCGTCGTTAAGGTTTGATGATTTACATAACAATATGACAAAGAAGCACTGTCTATAAAGTGATGCTTTCAGAGTATATACCTATTTTTTTTAATCGTTTAGAATCATTCAAAATAAGAGTTTATATATTCTTGACTCAGAAACTCCATTCTGCAATTTAATTGTAAATCTTCCACTTTGATACTCCTCATTCCGGACGCGTGTACTGTAGTGTTCTCTTCCAAGAATCCATGTTGATATACCAGAAATCCCGAGTATGGAGTACGGATATACACACAATGAGGGATTTCTGCTCAGAAATCCTGCTATATACTGGTACACCTTTTCTTACTCCCTACACGATGGTAGTCATAACACCAGACTCAATACACATGCATTCAGCAATATGGATACATCAAACACCCATTGACTCATATTACTCCGGACTCCATTACTCCAGACCCATTATATATACATTGGTACTCTTTACTCCTGACTCATTATATATACATTGGTACTCTTTACTCCTGACTCATTATATATACATTGGTATTCTTTACTCCAGACTCATTATATATACATTGGCACTCTTTACTCCAGACTCATTATATGTACATTGGCACTCTTTACTCCAGACTCATTATAAATACATTGATACTCTTTACTCCAGACTCATTATATATACACTGATACTCTTTACTCCAGACTCATTATATATAAATTGGCACTCTTTATTCCGAACTCATTATATATATATTGGCACTCTTTACTCCAGACTCATTATATATACATTGGCACTCTTTACTCCAGACTCATTATATATACATTGGCACTCTTTACCCCAGACTCATACATTGCCACTCTTTACTCCAGACTCATTATATATACATTGGCACTCTTTACTCAAGACTCATTATAAATACATTGATACTCTTTACTCCAGACTCATTATATATACATTGATACTCTTTACTCCAGACTCATTATATATAAATTGGCACTCTTTATTCCGAACTCATTATATATACATTGGCACTCTTTACTCCAGACTCATTATATATACATTGGCACTCTTTACTCCGGACTCATTATATATACATTGGCACTCTTTACTCCAGACTCATACATTGCCACTCTTTACTCCAGACTCATTTTAAATACATTGATACTCTTTACTCCTGACTCATTATATATACATTGATACTCTTTACTCCGGACTCATTATATATACATTGATACTCTTTACTCCGGACTCATTATATATAAATTGGCACTCTTTACTCCAGACTCATTATATATACATTGGCACTCTTTATTTCGAACTCATTATATATACATTGGCACTCTTTACTCCAGACTCATTATATGTACATTGGCACTCTTTACTCCAGACTCATTATATATACATTGATACTCTTTACTCCTGACTCATTATACATACATTGGTACTCTTTACTCCAGACTCATTATATATACATTGGTACTCTTTACACCAGACTCATTATATATACATCGGCACTCTTTACTCCTGACTCATTATATATACATTGGTACTCTTTACTCCAGACTCATTATATATACTTTGGTACTCTTTACTCCTGATTCATTATATATACATTGGTACTCTTTACTCCGGACTCATTATATATACATTGGCACTCTTTACTCCAGACTCATACATTGCCACTCTTTACTCCAGACTCATTTTAAATACATTGATACTCTTTACTCCTGACTCATTATATATACATTGATACTCTTTACATCCGGACTCATTATATATACATTGATACTCTTTACTCCGGACTCATTATATATACATTGGCACTCTTTACTCCAGACTCATTATACATACATTGGTACTCTTTACTCCAGACTCATTATATATACATTGGTACTCTTTACTCCAGACTCATTATATATACATCGGCACTCTTTATTTCGAACTCATTATATATACATTGGCACTCTTTACTCCTGACTCATTATACATACATCGGCACTCTTTACTCCAGACTCATTATATATACATTGGTACTCTTTACTCCAGACTCATTATATATACATTGGTACTCTTTACTCTTGACTCATTATATATACATTGGTACTCTTTACTCCAGACTCATTATATATACATTGGTACTCTTTACTCCTGACTCATTATATATACATTGGTACTCTTTACTCCAGACTCATTATATATACATTGGTACTCTTTACTCCAGACTCATTATATATACATTGGCACTCTTTACTCCAGACTCATTATATATACATTGGCACTCTTTACTCCAGAAACACTACATGCTGTCTTAAAATACTCTGACCGTGTGTACCGTAAGCTTCCTTATAGAATGAACATGATGTTATAAATCAACGATGCGTGTCTTTGTATCTCCATGGATATCATTTTATTAAATTTTGCGCCATGTAACATCACCTACATTTTGCCAAAGTTTTTCATGTTATATATTTTGTTACCTGTGCCGATTTTTACAGATGTGATAGCTCTATTTTGTGATATGTTTAATGATACCATGTTGTTATAGTTACATCGTCACATAGATTTCGTAAATAAATGGACGTTAAAATATTTCAGATTTTCATCGTTATCATTTCCTTAGAAAATAATACATCACATCAATACTAGTCTCTGGTGTTAATGTCCTTGTTTTTATCATCAATCTCACGTGATGTTAACATCCTTGTTTTTATCATCAATCTCACGTGATGTTAACATGTTTTTTTTTATCATCAATCTCACGTGATGATGACATCCTTGTTTCTATCATCAATCTCACGTGATGATGACATCCTTGTTTTTATCATCAATCTCACGTGATGTTAACATCCTTGTTTTTATCATCAATCTCACGTGATGATGACATCCTTGTTTTTATCATCAATCTCACGTGAGGTATTCTCAAGAATCCTAACACTGGAATTCCATATCTAACAAATGATAGATGAATACATGTGAAATATTGAAATAAGACGTTGTTCGTGTTTTTTTTTGTTTGTTTTGATTGTTTTTGGCTCTGGCATAAAAAAAATGAAAAATGTAAAATAGATAAAACAGTAGTCTGTTCCAGGAGAGCAGTTTTTCAGCCTGCAAACAAGCGTTTCACTATTTTTGTATTAGTAAACTTTGAAATAGATAAAAAAAAAACTGTTTGATAAAGAAAGAAACTGCAAATATAAGGACTAAATCTTGATTTTTGTTGATGTTTTTGGGGGATATAACTATATAGCTAGTTTCACTCTAATTTACTTTGGTTCAGTTGTAGTTATCCCCAATAATCGAAACAAAATATAATGGTATTCTTTATATATACACTGTTGTATTGTCGATTTGACGTCAACTACTACAGGCTATATGATTTAAAGCTACGATCCAAAGCCGAAGATTAGGGAAACAGGAATGTTAGTATTTTGAAATGGAAAATGCACAGTAGGAAAATTGAGGCCATTAAGCTCTTAATATGGCTTGGTTGAAAGCTTCCCGTGGTGATTTCGACAGAGGTTAAAAAACTTCAATAAATTCAGTCTTGTCAGCAAAAGAATTGTTACGATCTGTTCCTAAGGATAACCTAGTGCCACCTAAATCATCGCGGATAAAATCAGCCAGAAAAACGATTATTTTCACAATTTTTATTTTCTATACTTGTTCGCTTTAGACATACTTTTCAGGAAGTAGTCTAATTTCTGATCACGCTCTAATCTACTGCCAGTCACCATTCTCTGATAAGGATATTCTCATACCGAGGGACATTCCTTTAGATTGAATTGGGATAATGTAGTGTACAAAGAGGAAGCTTTCGTTATATTTATAGAAGGGAAGGCTGTGGTTCAGGAGCGGATACTCGAGATTAGTTAAAGTCTTTTTATCTATCAAAAGCCATTTCGCAATAATTCTGCATCTGCCTTTTCTTCTGTCTCTTTCCTCTAGCTGTATAATGCCTTTATTTTATCGATTTTGAGATAGAATAACGATTTTGTTGATGTATATGCATTGTCATTTTGTGTTTGCGTAGTAAGAACATCAGTGTTTTATGAATGATAAAATTGTTATGAAGTGATCACATCAATA